ATCACACCTACGTCCGCAAGCAGACGCCTGGCTGAGTTGATTTCTACCTGGAATCTGCATGACCCATTTTTGTTGAGGTCATTACCCCAAATAATGGGGTCATGGACCCATTTTTCAAGGGTCATGGAGAGTCTAGGTAGAGATGAGACTGGCGATTTGTGTTCTTGCATAATCACAGACATGCAAGATAGCAGGTTGATTTGCTTAATCTATTCGTGTTCCAGTTTTGAGGGGACCTTTTTTTCACACCCCAGCCATTTTGGGGGCGTTCAACCGTAAGACTAGCCACCCATGTCTAGGATTCAGTTGACCCTGGAGCACAAGCTGACGTCCAAGCTGGGGGTCACCGTGTTTTGCTACGGCGAGGCAAGGGCCGATGAGTTCTTCAAAGCCGAGAGAGGTTCACTTGTTGGTTGTGGGTTTGCGTTGAGGGTACCCTTTTTGGGATGGTTTGAAAGGAAAGCAAGGAACATCACCAACGATTGTTGGGCACCCTATTTTGAGACGAACCCTTTCGGGTTACCTTGTAGGGCGGTTTGCTAGTGTTCTGTGTGATGTGTGTTGCTTTTGCGGCGTTTGTTGCCTTTGGCTTGTTTTGCCTGCTTAAAAGCTTTGGTGGCTTTTGCGGCATTTCAGCTTTGGTAGCTTTTGTTAGCTGTTGGCAGCGTTGCTGGATGCGTGGCTTTTGTGGCTTTTGTGATTTTGCAGCTTCTGTCGCTTTGGCGACTTGGCGGCTTTGGTTTGTGGAACATCCTCTCTCCTTCTGGGTTTGGCTGGGTGGTTCACAATCAACTCGTACTCCTTCTGTCAGAAGGGATTACGCGATTTCCCTGGGAGCGGTGCCAGCCTAGCATTCGGGATATCCACATTTTGAGCCAATCTTTTTAGAGGAGGGCTGTGGGAAATGACCACTTCTGTGATACAACAAAAAGGGCCTCCCAAAGACTAATTCCCCATAGAGGGGATTCCCTTGTATCACAGAAGTAGTTGGAGAAACCCCGAGTGATCCCACAACCCTGGTTTAGGGCCTGGGATTCATCTCATCGCTCTTCGCCAGGGGGATAAGCCTCCAGCTCCTGATGAAGCACAGGAGAACAAGGCCAGTGGCTGGAGCGATGGCACCGTTTCAGCCTCGCGCGTGAACGCGCAACCTCCTCGCAAGAGGGTTTTGTGGAAGCATGGCGTGCCCTCATACATGGAACAGGGCCCCGATCAAATCTCCATGCCAGTCGGAACCAACATGACGCTGGAGAAAAATAACAACCACAAAAAATCAAGGCCCTGCCCAGTGCGCGATGTGTCGGGCTGGGACCCAGGGGAACATGAAATATGACTTCAGGCAGCCTCACGGTGATTATTGAACCTGGCTCCCAGGTTCGGAGAGTTTAGTTGGAGCTGGGAAACGGAAAGCAAACCTACCATTGCAGAGACCTGCGGTTGTCTCCCAACAAGGACCCTATGTTGCTCATGGAGTGAACATCCTGAAAGCAAACTGTTTCAGGGGCAAGAGGATGGTCTTGGCCATTCTTATCCCTTCCGAGCGTGCTCCTGGAAAGAGGCTACCTTACTTGAGCGCGGCCTCGATCATGCTGAAAAAACGTCGGGCTGGTCTTTTTTTGAACCATTTGATTTCCCTTCAGACCGGGGACCGTTGAGGGAAAGCCCGTTCTCGTGTTGAAAGGAAGCCATTTCGAACCATTCGGGGGGGGGTTCTGAGAAAGGAAACCCGCAGCAAATCTACCATGGCCATTGTTGGGTAGGATTGGTTTTAACAAGCACTCACTCCCTGGTACGCGTTGCAAAGGGGAGGCAAGCAGGTTGTTTGTCAAACAAGGGATGTTTAAAGTTCAATAGGGGTCGAGGGCCCAAAACTGGAAACCTAACATGAAACCTGTGGTTTCTCAAAAAGGAAATCCCTTGTCTAGGCATAGGGAAGCCAAAAGCAAGCCTGCCCTCCCTCCCCCTGCAGCACTCAGAGAGTACCTTCCACAGATGCCTTCGGTTTGTGGGAGGAAGGGTAGCACCATTTTGATTTAGCGGTGTGCAACGGTTTACCAAGGGGTTGGCCGGAGGCAACTAAGAACATAGCTACTGTCCAGATCACACCATAGACAAAATCCACTTCGCAACTGGGTTAAGGTTGACGACATATGAAACATAATCAGAAAAATATGATTCCAAAGGTGCCAAGTTTCCAGAGACCCTTTCCATATTCTACGCAAGGCAAAGCACTGAAAGGGTTCCCCTTTTTTGAGACCCCATCCACATTTCCGTGTACCAACCAATGTTGGGAGTGTCTTTTTGAGGGTACCCTGTTTGGGTCGTTTCCAAGAGAACCAAAGCAGAACTTCCTTTTTGGGCTTCCCGCAAAAGATACAACCCATCTTGGGCAAGGTTTTCTTGGTGGCTCCCAGCCATCCCCTTAGCCTTTTAGCCTTTTAGCCTTTTAGCCTTTAGTCTTTTGGCCTTTTAGCCTTTTAGTGTTTAGTGGTCGTTGCCATTTAACCCACCAAAAGTTAGACACTTTTAGCGGGGAATCAGAAAACGGGCCCAGGTTTAGCTACCCACCCCTTGGCTTGAGACGCGCCTTGGCCAGGAAGAAGTGGAAGCGCATCTGAACGACCTGACGACAGCGGTCATTGGCGATGCAGGACGAACAGATCAGAATCATAGGATGTCCTTTTTGGTTTGCTTGGGGTTCCCCTGCTTACATGGGGTTTATTCCATTTACCAGGGAAACCCATCTATTTTTCCCAAAGGCCACCTATGATCGGAATCGATCTTGAAGTGTGGGCGTGTTTGTCGGCTTGTCTGGATGGTGTTCGTCATGTTTGTGTTGGATGTTTAAAGGGAAGCCAGGGGTGAATACTTTGTTGGCTGGTACCCGGTCTGTCTTGGTTGCTTGGGGGGAACCAACAGGGACAAAGTCATTGACCACCCAATTGAGGGGGGTACTCTCTGTGGGGTTGCTCTCAAGTGGAAGCACGGGGATAGCACAATATGGAAACCAGAGAGCGGCCACAATATTGCTGCCGGTACCCGTTTTGGGGTTGAAGGGAAGCCAAAGGCAAACCACGAGGAAGCACACATTGTTTGGGGGGAGGAAGCCAAACGCAACGTTTGGAGACAAACCAAGCGAATGTTTTCTTTGGGGCTCCAATTGACCTCGAAAGAGCGCAGCTGGGTGTTTGTTTGACATTCGATGTTTCTGCAGTCTCCTCCAAGATTGTTTCACTTTCTACAGTGGACTATTGTGAAACAGAATCTGAACGCTTATTTTCTCTGTATCATTTTTATCCAGAATTGGGCCACAAGTGACCCCCCCCCCATCCGCTGACACGTAATCTGACGGAAACCTGGAAGCATGTTGTCTTGGCCCTCCGAGACGCGTACTGGCGCACAGGCAACAAGAACCAGTTCAGCCGCCCTGGCAGCAAGCCAGGTGTTCGTAAGAAATAATATCCGGGGTCAACATCGCCTTTTCTGAGTGTTGCTTTGACATGTTCCATTTAAAGACTTACCAAACCAGAGAACGGGCCATAATGATTATGTGTTTAGCGGCAGAAGCTGAGGTTTTGGTTGCCATTGGGACATGAATTTGCTCTTGGTGATGTTTAATTGTTATGTCTAAAGTGGACGTGCAGAGAATGCCAATTCTCGAAGTGGATGTTCAAACTTTGAGTGCAGTTTTGCTTGCACGCTCCCCAAGAACGCGACGGGCAAGCACACCCATTAGATTCAGCTTCCTTCAACTCGCCGCAAATTCCTCAATAAAAAAAAGGGGCTCGCTCGTTTTGCCATGTCCTTCAGGGTAACCTCATATTTTGACCACTCATATTTGGGAAGCACCATGCTTCATGGTGAATACCCCATGCCGCGCAAGAACTTGATGCAAGTTCTTTGAAGAGGGGGGCAGCTGGTGGAAACGGGCCCTCGAAGACTCGAAGTGGGGACTAAAGAGATCTAAAGAGCCATCAAGAGGACGTAGCGTTTTCGTCTTCCCAAAGCCAAAAGGGCATGGGTATATGTTTCTTAGTTTTCTCCATTGCCCTAATTGAACACCCAGCCAGGCTCCTTCTCGATTGGTTTTGGTGAACCCGCTTGATCGAATGGTCGCTGTGGGTTCTGCATTGACTAGCCTTTGGGCTGGTCAAGCATTCAGCCCCCCAATTTCCGCGCTGACTTTCATGGCAAGCTTGATTTGTGGTTTGCCCGGGTTGAACGAACGGAGCACCATAGTGAGGATGCAAAGGAAACGCCTGGGCCTGACACACCGTGCCTGACGCCCAGATCAATTCTACCATCTTTTTGTCCAAGTACACCGCGCTGAACATCTGGGCGGCGGCGAGAAGACGCGCCTCCGCGCCGGGATTGGGTTCCCTTCTGAAGAGTCACCCTCCCTCCAATAAACCTAGCACCTGTAAAAGGGTATCTGGAAGATTAGCTTCCTTTTCAAGGGACCCTCTGTCAGGTGCCATGTTTGTGGAAGGGAGATCTTAAGAGCTACACTCCCTCAGACTAACATGGAAGCTCCCAGAAGGGCTCTGTAAATGGCGCCAAGTCTTCTAAAGAGGTCCTAGGAGCTTCCATGTTCGCCTGGGGGAGGGTAGCCTTTTTCCAAGCACAGCCAGCTGACAGACGGGTTTTGAACTATCCTCTTGCGGCCCCCTGTCCGCTTCCATGATGGATTGTGGGAATGCGGGGTACGGGGGGAAAGTAGATGGCAGAACTCCTTTGTGTGGGTATGTAAAGGGGACGTCTAAGCCAAAGTGGGAGAATGGTCCCAAATATTGCTGATAGACATGGGTTGATTCCTGATTCTTTTCACCCATCCTGCCATGCAACGTTTTGGTGAAGGGACGGCTAGAAGAAGGGATGTAAGCTGGCTGTGTGTTATTTTTCGCCAAAGGAAATAAAGTGGGGTTGCGCGTGCTCAGGAAGGTTTCAGACAGGTCCAAAGGTTAGGAACAGGCCTGTGCCGGTATAAGGTGGGCCTAGGCTGGCCTCCAACGACTAGCGACTGGTGTCTTCTGTTCGGGGACCCCCCCAAAACGATGGATTTTCCTCCTGGTTTTCCCAAACAGGGTTCCCTTTTACAAATCCACTCCCGTTTGTTCAGCCGTGTCCCGACAATTGGTCACAAGAGCATACACGGGCGTCCCGATTGGTCCGTGTCAAAGGCAGTTTGAACTCGCAAAGCGAGCGGAGACAAGACTGAAATCATAGCTGATCTCCGAATCTCGTGTTGATTAATCAGAGAGCTCTTAACGGGGGACGCCGTAACGGGCTTGGATTTCAGGCAGTTTTATGATGTGCTGAGAGGTGGTGCCAACCCAACAAACAAACCAGAGCTGCCCAAAATTGGTCTGGAAATCGTTCTGGTTGCGCGATCCCTCATTGAGGGCCACCAAGAACTGTTATCAACTTGCTTGGTACAGCCTGGGATGTAGTTGTATTGACAAACATACCGCTGTCATTTGATCGCATATGATCCAAAATGGTTTCCACCCGCAAATAACTACTGCCAGAGGTCAATGAGATATTGACCACCGTATAATAACCTATGCAAAGGGCATGCACCCTGATTTCTACGGGTGTGTGTGTGTGTGTGGGTGTGTGTGTGTGTGTGTTGGGGGTAGTGGAAGCCATTTGAACGAACCGGTGCAACCACATTCCCCGCCGCGTTGCCGCTCCGTCTACGAGCCGTTTGCTTTTTCAGGTTCAATCCCTACGTCTCCGAGCCGCAGCTGCATTCAGGGGGAACAAAAAATGAAAAACGAGCGACGTTGGAGAAGGGAGTGGGACCCCAGAATGGCGGCATAGCAAAAACACCCGATTGGTTGTTGCTTGTTTGACACAAAGGCAGACAACCAACAAGAGCAACAAATGTCATGCCACTAAGTTGTATGATCACAAGAGAACATGGCAGTGATTGCAGAGATTTCTGTGGAACAAGTTCGTGGCATCAGCTTTACATGAAGTCTTCAGATGTGCTTGCTCATGTACCCACTGCTTGTGGGCCATGAGCCCATGTTGAAAGGGGCCAACACAGAGACATCCCGTCCAAACCGGCAAACATCCTGCCACCAGCAAGAAGCTTGTATCTGTTGCCTCTCCCTGAGGGGCGAAAGGGGCCTGCAGGAAGTCGATTTAGCGCGCAAACACATTGCCATTGTTGACCAGTTCTTTGACGAGTATCTCTTTTTGGTTTATGTAAGCTTTGGTATGGCCATTGTGAAAACCAGGATAGAACTCCTTCCCCCAATCGCCAACAGGAATCGGTTTTGGGCGGTGCTCTTTCAAGAAAAACGACGCCAGTTCTCAGGCTGAGAGGCTAGGTCAAAGAGCAGGCAATCTTGGAATCGACCGGTGCTCCAGGTCGAAGGCAATGGATTCTTTAATAACATCGCGCAGCCCGTTCAAAGGCGAAACGAAAGGGAACAAGCCACACGCCTCGAAGGGAACGAATTGGGCGAAACACTCAAATCAGTTTGGCATTTGGCTGCCAACCAATGTTGAACCGCCGGTTTGCAGCGTCGCCCGGGTCCAGCGTAGTGTGTTGGGTTTTTCAAGAGATGGGAGGTTGAATTCTTTTGGAGCACGGCGAACACAGTCCCACGATTCGTTTCCCAAGGCAACCCATGCGTAGCTTCCCTGCTCCTACACCCAAACATTGGATTATCACCAAAGCCAAACAAAGCCGATGGGGTGCCAGAAGAGGGCCAAAGACGGGACACCTTTAAGGCCAACCAACAACGGGTGCGATGGATGCCCCAAATATTCCCTGTACATTCCAATGGTTTGTGCGACATGTATGGCATCCACCGTACCACCAGACCGGAAAGTGAGAAGCCACTGGGCTTCGGACCGCTGGTGGTCAGGTGGAGTTCAATGGCCACGAGCTCAGAAGCCCAGCTGCCAGAGATACTCACACTCTAGCAGCTCAGCTGCAGGGATTCGGCCTCAGCTCTAGCTCCCGGTTTGGGTTTGGCATCACTTGCTTCCTTTTGGAAGGGTGTGCTGGGGGGATCTTTTAACGGGCACAGATAGGGAAGCCTGGTCAATGTTTGGCTCAAAAGGGAAGGGGTCTCATAAAAAGGGTTGTTTCCTTTTGTTTTCCCTCTAATAGCCAGCAAAAGAGGGTCCACCATATTGAACCCCACTTCCTCATTGTCATGTGGGCGTCCGCGTGTGCGGTGTCATTCCCTCTACTACAGAAACTACAGTAAATACGATTCGAATGGAGCAAGTTCCTAAGAGCTGTGGGGAAACCTTTTTGGGTGTCCCTTTTAAATCAGCCCAAGAAAGGTTACAGTCAACAAAAAGGCACCCCCTAGCACTTTGGCTGCTTTTTGGTTAAACGATTGGGCATGTACACTTCCCGGATCCAGATAGAACCCAAAAAACACTTGAGGCATTCCCTCGTGGACAATTCCTGGGGCTCCGTCTTGATTTGCAGCGAAGTAAACCCTGTGTTTTGTGTTTCCCAGAAAGATGTTCAGTACTGAGAAGACGTGCCCCACGTTCCAACTCGGATTGACAAGAGAGGCTTGCAAAGTGGGAGGCTTGGAAGAGTGAGAAAGGCAAAGTGTTGAAGCCCAGCGTCTCCTAGGCTCAGGGTTGTGGGATCACGGGGTTTCTCCAACCACTTCTATGATACAAGGAAATACCCCCTCTCTGGGGGGTGGTCATTTACAGCCCTGCCTGGGCTTGTTTCCTGCGACGGCAATGACCGCCAAACCCGGGCCCGCAGATCAAGTCGTGTCCTTGCCACAGCTGCGAGGCCAAGAGGGCCGCACTGGCGATTCTGGGGCAGTTTCCAAACCAAGGGACTGCCCTTGGCGCAGTATTCATGAAACATCGGCCTTTGGTATCATAGAAATGGTTCTTTGTTCACAAGGAGAAAAGGCTTGGACACTTGCAGGGAGTTATGTTTGTATCGTAGGAACGGTTCCAAGAAGTTTGGACGCGCGCAGGGAGAAATCATGTTGGTGATGCCCAGGCATTCGACGAGCAGTTTCGGATTCCGGTCACAACTCCGCTCTTCCAGGACTCCATCGTAGCCTGGCAAGCAACTAAAGTCACTGTGACCAAATCCACTTCGCACCGGTTGGGATAGTGGATGAAGCTCCAGTGATACCCGGGATACACCGACCACCTACTAACTGGTTCGAAGTGGTCACTTCTTCATTCACGGTATCTCCGCAAGCGTTGCTTTGTTCACTTCCATATATATATATATATTGTATATATATATTGTATATATATATATACATATATATATATAATATATATATATATATATATTTCCCTGGTCTGAAGGTATTGCTTCAAACATGTCCTACTTAAGAAGAGAACTCACTTCATGCAAGAAAAAACAACAGCAACACCAAAGTCATGCTAGTTTAGTTTAACAAAGGAACAACAGAGGCTCCGTCTTTTTCCTGGGTTCACCTCACCTTGTACTTGAAGCATGCTTTCGGAGCTGTCGCACACGCCCCAGCCGGGCAGCAGCCGGGTTTGCTCGGCTGCAGATGCCTTATGGCTGAAGAGTGGTTGGTTTGCACCCAGATGTCCACCAAAGGGCCCTCAATTCAGTTCATAGCATGTCGCAAGTCAACCAACCATACTCAACCACACCCTTGAAGGTTTTGATGCCTCGTTAGATCAGCATAGAGCAGGAGTCCTGTTGGCAACCCAAGCAGCTCGAGGGCACCTGGCACTGGACCCACATTTACTAGGTCCCCCAGTAGTGCCCTTCTCCCCTTTTGGGGGGAGGGTTCCCCTACTAAAATAGACTACAGAAGAAAGGGTACCGTTATTCTAACCTCTCTACTGGAATACCTAGCCGCCCTAGCCTCATGTATTGTCATATGCTGTCCCACTCCGGATTAGGTTTTTGCCGCCCCCCCCCCCCCAATTCGAACAATCCGATTTATGGCCGGCGACAGCTAAGGTCATTCGAGTCTGGGATTCCGCTAAGTGGATGAGAGACGAGATCATCGTGCAAGGAAGGCTGTCCTTCTCGCTCTTGCGCCGGAGTCTTACTGACGGGATCGGTCAAAAGCATTGCACCGCGACTCGGACCCCCCAAAAAGCTTTTGGCAAGTCAGAAGGATTCCAAATGAAGTAGGCACAGATTGTCGGCACAGAAGCTCCCAAAGTCTCATGTTTCTGCAGCACATTCTCAAAATCCCTACACCCCAAAAACCCTTCTGCACCCTAACAACTTACCTAGAATTGAAACCCCCAAGACCCCCCAACCCCCAATCCCCCCAACCCCTGCTAACCCCCCACCCCCCCCCCCCCCACCCACTGAGCAACAAAACCCGGATCCTCCAAAAGTTTTCCAGGATCCGCGTGGCACCTGAGGAATGCACGCCTTGTCGCCCAAGTGGTTCAACTTTTATGGCTTCAAAAGCGAAGAGGCGGAAGCGACTCGGGGAAGCCACGCCCCATGCTGGGGCTCCTCCATTTTTGTGGGGCTCCTCCATCTCGGGTTCCTTGCCATCCTCTTTCAAACATATGGGTCTCCTCATGTCTCTTCCAACAATATTCAATATGGTTTTTTAGGGTTGTCTAAATACGAAACACACTCTGAAGCATTATTTTTTCTCCGTAATGACCCCAGACGTCCAAGGCCCCTTGTTTCTAGATTCCAATTTGGTTTGGGACAAAGACAGGATTGATCCTCGGGGTGGACAGCTGGTAGACCCGGTGCGGGCGGTTCCTATTCCAGGCGCCGGTCAAAGGCCCCGCTTTTGCTCGAGGTCCCTAGGCTGAGGTTGAACTAGAGGTGTACAAATGGCCATGGATTTGGTTGGGGGAACCTTTCAAATGTGGCTGGCGGACATGAATCCCAACGGAAATGATGTCCAAACGGTCACAAATTTCAGTTCATACCCAAGTACTGAATATCCTCAGAAGGCACCCTGTTTGTTTTCGCAACCCAGTCCTCTGCAAAGTTCCGATGATTCGGAATCACCTTTCATTCTGGGAAGTTGCAACGATCGGAGCGAAGGCCTCCAGATGCAGCAACGAGTTGCGGGGGGTTATAAGTCTTATAAGTATGAGGTCGTTCATGTGGGTTTTCCTTTCAAAGCATGCTAAGAAGGTTCGAGGGCGTCGAATCAAACCCCTTGAACTCCCTTCAAAACGCGCCGCCGCGTGGTAGCAAGAAGCCAAGTACGACAGCCTTCATGTGAGATGACCCCTTGGGACTGTCCTCTTGGGGAAGCAAGTTGACCATGGCTCACTTATGTGTGAGTCAACCTGTCTTCGTTGCCAGTTGGTTTGGGAAACCCGAGTTAGCTGCAGGTTCCAGATGTGCAAGCCATCACCAGCGCTGGAGAAATTGCGGAGGAGAACGCCTATTTGGGGCGCAACTTGATACAATATGGTTAGTAGCGGTGGACTTCTGTTTGGGCTGTTTCAGTGGGAAACCAAAGGCAAACCAGCCATGATGGAGGTGCCGCTATCTTGAGACACACCTTGAGTAGCAGAGCGAGATGGTGAGATGATGTTGCAAGGGGGGTAAGGGTTTAGTCGGGAGGAGCATATTCATGCCGCAAATGTGAACATCATTTTGACCTTTGAACACAGGGTTCTGCATTTGCCCAAGAGTAATGACGCTCGAGCTGGCTTGACATCATTCTGGGGTTGCAAAATAAGTATAGACTCATGGGCTTATCAACGTTGATTTGTCCCTTCCCCCCTCGCTGCAGGTTTTTGGTCTCAGGAAAGATCGGGTTTGAACCACTCCGTCCGTTGCTGTCCCTTCCCCTACCCACAAACCTGGCAGAGCACATCCCCGCCTCGCGAAAGGAAAGTAGTGGCTCTGTGCGCAAGGGAGGCCAACCAGTTCCGGGGTCTACTAGTTGTGTGGCAAGTCCGATCAAAGGTAAACAGACCTGCGGTCCTACCTCTCAAAGTGAAGGTCTTTGGAGCTGTTAGTTCTATAGAAAGTATACATGGTTGCTGTATATTTGAAGGTCGGCGAAATACAAAGCAGAATCTGAAGGCATGTTTTCTTACCTCAGACTTGGGCCAAGTCTAGTTGTGTAAGCAAAACATGGCAGTCTAAGGCCTTCTCATCAGTGCCCGGGTGAACAAGGCGCGGCCGGGCGGTCGGGGCCACCCGTTGTGGTGGGGTCCAACCCGACACCAACGTCGATCAGTGGGTCCACCCTTTTAATCTCATTTTGTTTGGTTCGGGATACGAAGAATTGCTAAAGGGCAGCCTCTAAATCCTCTGGTCCTCTAAATCCTCTAAATCCCGGAGGGCGGAAGCTTGAAAGATCTGCAACTGGGATCGGGCAAGGTTCCGAAAGATTAACGTTCTGGTTTCAGGACCTTGTTTTGCAAGTGCCCAGTTGCCCAGTGGCGCCCTTTTGTCCTTTTTGTTTGGGAAGGTTCCGATTCCTTTAAACTCAACCAACCAAAAACGGATGCCGATTCTTTTCCCCATAGAAATCCACTGGGCATCTGAGAGTGAGAATGTCCTAGTGGTGACTGGTGAGTTGTGATTTCTGCAAGTTGGTCCTGGGCCGTTCTTGACTTTTGGCTTCGAGTTGACCGCGCTGAAGCCGCCAGTCAGTTTCGGTTGTTCCCACGACCTTGCGCTGGACGCCCTAAATATAATAGTAATAGTTGCAGGCCTATGGGTTGAAGTTGATTCTTCATTGTGTTCAACTGTCGTTCTTTGGAAGATCCGGCCATCTAGGTTCCGGCGGGTCTGGAAAGAATGATCCCTGCGAAGAATGGGGAAGTTACCCCTGGCTGCTTCGACCCAGGTGTCAATAGGCATGGAGTACCTGGGGTATGATGCATGGAGCACACTCGGTTCTTTTTCGGGCAGCTCGGTGAACATCTGCTGACCATTGTTTTCTCGCGTTACGTTTCTGGGAAGCAATCTACCACGTGTTTTTTCCCAGTGCTTGCACTTACTACCATAGTAAGTAGCCACGGGAAACCAAATGCAAACTATAGAGGCAAAAATCATGCTGGCTACCCCCCATGGAGGCACTGGGGTCGCACTATAAAAACCAAACCCTCAACATGTACTTCACTTTGGTGCATTTTTTTCTTGGATGTTAGGACTGTAACTTTTTGCCAACTCACGGGTTTTCCATTAAACCACTGAAAGTTAAACTTTTAGCAGGGGAGCAGAAAGCAACCGAGCTCAAGTGAGCCAGTCTTCCCAAAAGAAGTTGGGTGCAAAAGACTTCCGGGAGGTTCCTCTGTGCGGTGGATGAGCCAAATCAGGTGGAGTCCATGGCAGCGTTGCAGCTTCCAGCAGTCATCAGGCGCGTTCGAACTCGAGCCGGCAGCCACGGGGCGGGATTTTGTGGGGTTGGCTTACATCCATCAACATCAAACATCAAGAATGCAAGTCCTTCTTTCCCATTGAGCCACTGGGCAAGTGAGAGGTTGAGCATCGGGGAGGTCCGATGTTGCCTATCTTTTGTTTTGTCAAAGATCTCTCACCGTGGAATTTGTGCTGCCCCAAGAATCGTGGGACCCGCCAAGAAATGATGAATCCAAGTGGAACCAACTACTGTTGCAGGCAGCGGGAAACCATCACGTACCTAGGAGCAAAGCTTCTTGTGAGCTATGGGCACTGGACCCACTGGGATGGTCCAGGTGTTGGATTCGGTGGTATCTTTTGGGTTACTTTTCTCGGCTTTCAAAGGGAAGCCAAAGGACCCCCAAAAGGAACTCTCCACCCAACCGCACCCCACCCACCCACTTCCCCCGCTAGCTCCCCCAGTAGTACCCTTTTACCCTTGGGGGAGGGCCCCCTACTAAAATAGACAAAACCGAGAAACAAAGAGAACAAAAATCGGGTACCAACTTATTCTAACCTCTCAAATCTGGAGGACCTAGCCCGTGGTTTTTGTCTTATTGTTGGCGCATTTAATTGGCCCCATTAATCCCCATTGTTTTTGTTGGAAATTGGGTTTACCCCCACCCACCCATTTCCCCCTGTTTTTTTTTTTTCCTTTTTTTTTTCTGGCCTGTGGTTGTCCGCTAGGGGCGGGCCCTGCGAAGAGCCGCCCTCCAAAGTGGAGAACTTCCTGATAGACCTCTTCGAGGTGTCCGGCGTGGCCGGCAGCGAGGCGGGATGCCGAGGCGAGAGCGCCCAAAACCGAGTCCCAACCTTCCACTTGAGTCCTTGGCTCGGTGGGTTTGAATTGCATGTTAACCAATTGCTCATGTTCAGTAACATTACAAGTGTTTAAGGTTTCTGAAGTCATTTATGTGTCTTTGAATATATATATATATATAGATGTATCCAACCTTTTCGACAACTCTACATGTTTTCCTACAACAACTGTGCATATCCCTGGTTCCTACGTAGTTTCGTATGGATTCTGGTAAGGCCTGCGCCCTTTATGACCATCTTTGTATAGCCAAAGTCCGTGATGTTTTCGGCGCTACTCACGTGGGTTTGCGCTTTTGATCGAGCTCACTGGCTCACCGCGCAGGAAATTGCGGGGAGTGAAAGGGTTGCATAGTCGAGAAGGCGAGATTAGGGCGTGAGGGTTGATCAAATGTCCTTTTCATGGGGTGCTTATTAGGGAAACCACCCAAAATATGACTTTCACGGCTAAATGGAAAAAGATACCGATGGTCATTTTTGGGCCAGGAATATTGATCAACCAATGTGTACGTGGTTCAGCACCACATGATGTTGCAGGTGCGACATTTGTTTCTCGGCGTTTGTTGACACGGGACGCCGAGCGGGACGCGATGATGCGACGGGTGGCGGGACATCCAAGGTGTTCCGGGGTCGGCTGAAGCATTTCCTCAACTCGGGCGACCCTTGCATGCGCCTAAGTCATGATGAGCCAAAGGAGGATCAAAAGCCCGCGAGAAGAAAAGGGGTGAGCAAATAAGATGAATTTACTGTGAGTTGCCCCCCAAGGACCAAATCTCTACCCTGGTGGCAATCCTTTTTTTTCTGAGGGGGTCAAGACCGGACTCTGGACCCGGAAGGTCAACCCCAATGTGAGGGTTCTGGTGGAGCCAACGTAAACCTTTGTGAGCGGGTTGGTAGAACCAAAGGTTCAGAGGACCCTAAACTTGTTCCAGTTTTCAAGGACCATCATGCTGTAATATCCCGGCGCCCATGTGTCAGACACCATTCCAAGTCTTGTTTCTCAAGAAACAGGGTCAACGGCACCAAAGTTGCCCAAGTTTGGCTGCATCGCTGGGGGCCACACGCCAAGGGTTTCGGGACCCAGGTGATGGTCGAGATGTCGGTGGGCACGAAGAGCAAGAAGACGAAGACGGCGCTGCGGTCCAAGGAGTCGGATGAGGACCCCACCACACCCGGCCGCTTCCTTTTTCAAGGCACGGAACCAGGAACCAAGGTATCTTTACGGCCGAGGTATCACTCGATTTTTTTCTATAATAGTCGGCTGCCCCGTTCGCTTTACTGTTAACTAAATCTCGGGCCGAGGTATCATTTGTCTATAATATTTTAAGTGAGCCTGGATCTCAGCTCGTTTATGTTAGTGGCAAGTAGCAGCAGGACCCCAGGATATTATTTCGCGAGACCCCACATGGCTTTGGACAGCTGGGCTTTAGGTCGCAAACTTCAATGGCTGTTCAGTAAGAGAAAAGCCAAAATATGCTTAGGTCTCTGACACACCCGTTCTGGTGCACTATGGCCCTTCCACTCCTGGAAGCTGGGTGCTAAATGGCCTCTAGGTAATATGTATATCTAATTGTACAGATTATCCAACAGACGCCAAAAGGGGATGCTACATAGAAAATAGTTTTGCCCACAACCACAACAGAGCTCCAAGCTTATTGCATGTTTCCGGTTTGACGATATATGACACAACAGTTGCTCCACGCTTATTTGTTCTTTCCGGGTTGCCGAAAGATGAAACATAGTATCAAGATATGTTTTTTTTGTGTACCCCAGAGTTGAGCGGAGACCAGGGTATGAACATGTTTTTGTCCAGATCCCCATTTAGTGGCACTGAATGGACTCTCTTCCCATTCATGCAGGAAACGGTTTGGATGCGGTTTTTGTGGATCCACCCCATGAGGATAACAAAGAATAAGACAAGAGTATATAAAAAGAGGAAACACTGGTAAAGTCCAACATGGGGAATCCACCGACAACGCCACCTCAATCCGTTTGAAACGGACCCAAGAACGCATTGGTTCAAATCGAGCGGCCCAGCTTTCGTGGCCAGGCGATAAGGGGAGGATGACGCCCTTGGTGAGCGTGATCCCGACCAACGCCTCAGAGCAGCTGGATGTGATCCTGTCCTTGTTCTCGCGGACCACCGGCTATGCGACGCGGCAAACCACACGACTCCTCCCCCCCCCCGGTTTTTTCCAGGTGTCGTGCCTGTTGGTTTCCAGTCAAGCGCGGCGCGGAAAAGGTTTCCAGTTGTCTGGCAAACGTGGGGGCAAAAAAAGGGGAGGGGGGGATTCACTAAGTGCCCCCCAATTTGTTTCGGGGGGCAAGCCCTCCTACATCCCCCAGCATAGTGCCCTTTTACCCTTTCTTGGGGGACTATGTAAGCTCTCTACTGGAGGACTTAGTCTCATTTTCCCATGTTCCCAAAAGCATGGGCCACGCTTCTTCAATCCGCGCGGCTCGAGCGTGAGGTCACCAATGCAGAGTGGCAGCGCGTGGGCTTCGCCCGCCTGAAGGCGACGGCCATCTCGTGAATGACAGAATCCGGAGGATCTCTTCACTGGTCAGAGTAACCCTACCTCTGTTGCCCGCTGGTGCCAATTCTTTTTTTTTTGTGTTTTTTCTTTTTGGGGGGTAAGGGTTCCGATTCCTTTACACTCAACCAACAAAGAAAGGCCCCCCCTTTTTTCCCATGGAAATCCACTGGGCATGTGAGTTACCTAGACTCCCGAAATAAAAATGGGTCCATGACCAACCATTTGTTTGGGTACTGACCCACCATTTTTTAAGGGTCAGAAGGAGACTCCAGGTGCCAAGAGCTATGGGGTTGGGTCTTCAACATTTTTTGTTTTTTTTTTGCAGAGGGGCCAACAGCAGCGACCAAGCACTACAATGATCATGTCCAGAACATCCGGGCACCACCCGGAGGAAGAAAAACATGTTTTTCTAGACGGTGTGGAAATTGTAGCTCCAAGGGGGCCGTAATTTCCTTAAAAGTGGCACCACCCCTGGCACCACGGATAAGTATGGTGAGATAAATCCGGAGTTGCCATTACGTGCAATATTTGGCACGGGCTGTGGGGTACTTTGCAATCAACAATGTAGTCGTGAGCAGAGAATTGCATTATCTTATACCCTTCTGTTACTGCCAAGAGCCACAATCAAATCCGATGGCAATTTGAAGCTCGGAATGGCCCAAATGAGAGCGAACCTCCGGCCTGTAGATTCTTCATTGATTTTGGGTGGGGACTGCTGGCTTTGATTTTGACTATGGATTTATTGCCGGGCACTAGGTGGAATAGGTGTTTCATGTCGGTGATCTTGTCCATCTTGGCTTATGAGGTGTCGAGATTGGGATCCTTTGAGCAACGTCTTCCTTGGGTTTTGTCCGGCAATGAGTCAAGATTGTAGGAGTAAACTTATTCTAGCCTCTGCATTGTTTGTGAAGAAGACATATCAAGAGATACCTCAAGAAATTGTTGTTTTCTCTTATGGGTCTCCCTTGAAACCATCCAAAACGCGGAATCCAAAGTTCAGGAAACACCGGTTCCATCCCGGATCAATCAACCTGTCGAATGACCGGACTGTTCCCGTGGCAAAGGGAGACTCAGATCCCGGGTTCCGGTGTTCGATTTCTCTGGGGATGCGATCGCTTCGAATCCACCCACCAACCTACAGCAAAAGAACACTCAAAGGGCTAAAAGACAGCCAACCCAGGGGGAATTCATGATCTCATGATCCAACCGTCATATTTTACAGAGACTTGGGATTGGTCTGTCTGGACTATAACAAGCTCACCGAAAATCGTGGGAGGGGGGTTGCAATGGGGATGTCAGGCAGTGTGCTGAAAGCTGGGGTCACCGGCAACAATGTTCTAGCATGGGAAGTCATTTGCTTGTTGGTATTCACAGGGGAAATCATTATTCCAGGGGGTCTTAGGTGGTGCAGGATTCTGTCCATCCACACTATGGTTCTACTTTGTCTGCGTTCTTCTTTCTGTTTTTTTTTTTGGGGGGGGGGAGGCGAATTCTATAAGTTGTTGGTCATTGTGACATAGTGCTGCAGCGATGGTTTGCGGAGCGATCCACTGGAGCTTTGGGTCACCGCGACCCAAGAGACCCGGGAGTGGGCAAGCCAGAGACACGCAAAGTGACGAGTCCGTGGCCCTGCGTCTTTGAGGCGAAAGCCCCACTCATCCCCACTTTCTCTTGGTAGAGTTGGGCAAAGGTTTGTTCAACGGCCGGCGAGTGAAACAGGGGTTGGCGCCGCAGCCAGAAACAGCGGGAACTCTGCGTAATTTCGAAGCCAAAGGAACTCGCAAGCTGTTGGTTCACTGGAGATCGAACCTCCGAATGAGGGGCCAGGCTCGAATCACCATGACTTTCCCGTCTTGAGTCGGCCGCCGCAAACTAGCTTCTTCCCCAGAACGTTTTGGTTTGTTTTGTTCCCGACCGATCTATAAAACCAGGTGGTTTTCCCCAAGACCAAAACAACTGAAATGTCCCAAAACGTCTAGTTGATGTTTTCCCTGGGTTTCTGAAGATTCTCTGGAAAGAAGAATTCCTGCACAGTGTTTGGGGAAGGTACCCCTAGAAAACCAAACCGATTCGACCTCTCGATTCGCAGGTGGTCGAGATTAGGGACTGGGACGGGGACACGCAGACGCCGCTGTGGTGCGCCTCGGACCAATGGAGCATCCCATTGTCCTTTAGGTTACCATTGTCCACCCTTTCTTGACTTTCTTGACTGTTATTGGGTTGGATCTTTAGACTTTGACTTTTGGTTGAAATCAAGTTGGGTTTTCCACTAGACCCCTAAAAAGGTAAGAACTTTTTGCGGGGGGGTCGTTGCAGCAACCAAGCTTTGAACCTTTGGCTACCATTTGGTCCTTTTGATTTGAGGCTGGTTCCCTAGGTCACCTAAAGCGGAATCACTGGAAATGGGTGTCTTTTTGTCGAACCCTTTTGGGGGGTTTGATTGTAGGGGAAACTAAAGGAACAACTATCAATCTTCGGCCAATGCGATAACCAAACGGCAATATGGGAAAGAAACTCCTGTCAACCATAATCATGTGATCGCAAATTGATCAAAAGATTAACCCGGGTTTTATGACGGGCGTAAATGTTGGGTTCACCATTCGGTGACGCTTATCGGGTTTGACCAAGGTGCCATGAGCAACATGGCTCACCTCCCCAGCTCGGTGGAGCCAGGCGATTCGGGAGACCCCGATTCGGGGCCATTCGAACCGCCGAGCCCGGGGTTTAGGGCAGCCAGGCTGTTGCTATTGGGCAGTTGATAGTTTATCTTTTGCTCTGCCGGGGTGTATTTTGTTGTGTGGCCGTGGGCGGGATGGTGCACGGCTGCTCTTTGGTGCGACCTTAGCCCTTTAGATCTTTTGGAAACAATTCCCTTTTCCGGCAAACCCTGCATAAGGTGATTGGCCTTCTTTTGCTCAGAGAAATTGGAGCAGCCCAGATTTGCACCATCCTGCAGGATATTCGCTCAGGAATTCGTCGACTGGCCATCAAAAGCTTTGCAACCTGTAGGACTAAAGCTTACGCCACCTCACCCTTTGGCAAGCTACAACATGTTTGCGTTTTTTTTAGGGATATTTGTTGCCGCTTTGTTTTAGGGAAGCCAACGGTAAGCCATACCCAGCGCTGCTGACGTGAAGTGTGTGACTTCTGCAGCAGTTTTATAGCATATTCAAAGAGTTTCGGGAAGGCTGGATAGCCGGTACGGAGTTGCGACAATGGCTTTTGTGAAGGCGAACATCACGCGTGATTTGGCCAAGAACTTCGGAACTTCCACCAGTGATTCGGCACCTTTTTTGCTCGAGATTGAGCCACAGCTTCGAAGAATCTTTTTGAAGAATACCCCCAAGAACCTTATCTTCTCGACAAGGTCCCCCCCCCTCCCGTTTCGTTCTCCGATGCAACCGCAAGATTGGGGGTTGACGGCTCTTGATACTGAGCTGACACAAAGGTCATGCGAGCAGGTCTGTCCTGCGCCAAAGCATGCGAGATGCTTTCTCGCGAGAAGCAGTTTCTTCCCCACCTGATGGTGTTTCTCAAATGGGGAAGAAGCTTTACACCTGGGCCATCTGATGAAATGTTCAAATGCAACTGGCAGAAGAAAGGGCTTGAAACACCAAAGATCTTCTGCACGGGTTTCTATCAAGGGGAAGAACCTTTACTCTAAAAGTTTAACTTTTAGTGGGTTAAATCGAAACTACCACTAAACACTAAAAGGCTAAAAAGCTAAGGGTAAGGGGATGGCTGGGAGCCACCAAGTGCACGTTTCATCTTTGGAGTGCCAAGGCCAACCAGCGCCAGCAACACAGGCATCCATGATGTGGGTCTGTGCTCCAGGGGGACCGAGCACTGGAATCCTGGTGGCTGGTTTCAAATGGAAACACACCAACGGCCAATTTGGGTATGTGCCAAAATCAGTGCCACCCAAAAATGGGCAGTTTGGCTTTGGTTCCCAATTGCCAACTCAAAAAAAGGTTTGTGGTTTTATTCCATGTACCAGGGCCATCTATTTTTCCAAAAGGCCACCTATGCTTCCCATGTCGCCAGGCGCTCTGCTGTGTTCTTTGGCGAAGTCAAGTGACACAGTGCTACAGCGGGGGGTGCCCAACTGCAAGCCCGTGAAGTTCAATCTTCGCTGCTACCTCTCCATGGCGGAAAGCTCAGATTCGATCTTGTGGTTGATCTCGGGATTTATCAACCACTAAGCTGCGACACAAGGGAATCTCCCCCTTTTATGGGGGTAGTCTTTTGGAAGCCCTTTCTGTTGTATCACAGAAGTGGTCATTTCCCACAGACTGGACTGCTCAGGCTCGATCTGAGGTCTTTCGCTTGCCGAGCAACTTGGGGTTAGGGATAGTTCTCCCAGAGATGGATCATGGGCCGTAAGGATGCTCAAGAGCAAAAGGGCCTAGGGTCAAAGACCAAACAATTGGCTTTTGTGTGTTCAAAGTCATTCTCACACCCCGAACAAGTCACGCTTATTCAACCAACCCCAGTTCTTCCACTTGCTTACCTTCACGTGAGCAGCGTTTTTTTTCTCAGATGATGGATTTTAGCTTCGTGGGGAACTCCCAAAAGCTCCGCGAAGGCACTTGTGCGATACATTGTGTACCGCGAAGCCCCGCGAAGCCACTTCGCGTAGCCCGGCAACATTGACACAGGCGAAGCCACTTCGCGAAGCCACTCCGTGGTTTGAGTGTATTGCGTGCTTTCATGGCAAGTGTGTTGTGCGCTTTCATGGCAGTAGTATTCCAAAGGTTGATGTTTAGAGTGAGCAGGCTACGACAAGAGTACAGGAAGATTACGGGAAGACGACCGGAAGAGCACTGTGCGTTTCAGGCTAGAAACGGTGGAACGTTTTCGCAAAGCCTCTGCGAAGCCCCCGCGAAGCCCCCGCGAAGCCTCCGCGAAGCCACCGCAAAGCCACCGCGGTCCAACTTCCATGCTCCGCCCCTTTGAGGCCCAGCCATATCCCCTAGTCCTGAAGCTCAATGCCTCTCTTGCTGCCTTTCATCACCCCCTTTCGCATGGACTCAGCTTGATTCAACAACATGGGGGCGCGAGGTTTGTGGAACAAACATCCGCGAAGCCCGGCGAAGCCACTCCGCGAAGCCACAGTCTTGCCGCGAAGCCTCGCGAAGCCAACCCTTCCACAAATTCTGGCCCCGCGAAGCCCCCCGCGTAGCCTCCCCAGCAGTGTATAAGCCCTGAACCTCTAAAAAAACAATGCTCACGTGTTCGGGCAATGAATATCATGGCTATGGCTGGTTGTTTCAACCGAGTCTATTGCCCAGCGATTCGATTTCCCTATACCAAACAGTCTGTCCCACCCATAAAAAGCCATGGGATCAAAGTATTTCCTGCTTTATTTGTGGGAGAAGGGCTTACCTCCAATCCACTGGGTTCTGTGTGTCAAGAAAACAACCGAGTCCCCCTCCCTCTCCCCCCCTCCCCCCCCTAACCCCCTCCCCCCCCTAACCCCCTCCTCCCCGCCTCCCGCCTCGCGACCGAAACCCCCAGGCGCGGAACCTGCAGTGCGAGGGCTCGCAGGTGCCCAGCGCCTTCTGCGAGGTCAGCTGCGCGGGCCAGCGCCAGCGCGCCTCGAAGCCCAAGACATCGAAGTCGAGAAGCCGGTGCCCGTTTCGAGCGGTTTTGTTGTTGTTCTTGTTTGTCTCTTATTGAAAAAAAACATTGTTTTTTTGTCTGGAGGCACGTGAATTGCTGGTTGTTGTTCTGCTTTTGGTTTGGCGTGTTTTGGGTTAAGGTGTTTTTTTCCTTTTCGTGTTGATCGGAGAGTCGTGGTGTCGTGGTTGTTTCGTGAATTTTGGGTATGGTTCACAATTATTTTGTGTTCCTGTCGTTTTGCAACTTGGCGCAGTGGAGTGAAAGTGTGGTGCTGCTATCGCCGCTCGCCGTGCACTCCTTTTCGCTAGCTCCGTCCTCCCCACCTTTGCTTGTGGCCAACTGGGCGGATCCAAGTGGAGGCGTCACCGCAGACCTTTCCCATGACCCTTCTGGCACTAATTAGCTTGAGGCGCTGTAGCAGGATGAATTTAGGCAAAGAGAGGAGTCGGCTAAGGCTCTCAACCCGCTTCAGGATGATTTGGCCCCGCGTTCGGACTCTCTTTCCACGTTTGTCATTGTCAGTGTGGTGGATGCTGCTGTCGAGTTGAATACAGTCCCTCTGAGTGATGGTTGGACAAACCGAGCGGTTGCCACTTTCACTTTGGGGCTAAGTTGCAGCTGCGGGTTGGAAATGACTCCGCCACTTGAGTCAGGTTTGCTCTTCTGTAAGGCACTTCGTTCCTACCTCGGTCCTTACGACGAGGTGGCTGCGACTGCCATTCAGCATTGAAGTCTTCCTTTGCGGCAGGCCCCGACGCTTGGAAGCGCCGCGCAGCACGTCGAAGCCAGTTGGCCTGCAGCAATTCTGCGCATGGTACTGTGGATGGACAAAATCCAGCACCACCTAAGAAACCCTGGAATGATGATTCCCCTGTAAATACCAACAAGCAATGGTTTCCCATGGTTTCCAAGTGGTGCAGGATTTCGTCCATCCACAGAATGGTGGTCTCTGTGGCCAAGTGGCTCTCGCACGGCCGGCCAGCCCGTCACGTTCTATAGCCTGTCTCGCCGGCTTGAGTCCATGCACGTCGCTTGCTTCAGTCTCACACATGTTGGCAAGTCGGCTTCAGATGTGACCAATCTGATCCGGGCAGCGGTGGCAATTGCGCAGTCAGTTTGTTGAACATGTCGGCGACGCCTGGTTCGGATTTCTGCGGCTGGTTCGCGGCGCCGGTTCCGAGCAGGGAATGAGGTGACATGTCCCTTGGAGCACGGGCCTTCCAGAAGGCGGTGCTCACGGCTTGTGACATGGATGCCTTTTCGCGGTTGGTGTGGGAAAGCGGACGGGAATCCCCCTCCGACATTCGGGCAGGAGGTTTGATACCTTGAGTGGCGGCCCAGCTACTTGTCTTCGACGGGATTCTTCCGGAATGCTTCCGATCTTTGGGCTCACTTAGGGTATGACATCTTGTGTCATCCAAAAGTAAGGATTTGCGTTGGGAACTCCCATGCCGAGCGGGTACCTTGGCTCAGAGAGATCTATCAGGCTTCCATCTTTGCGAGGCGGCCATGGGACGTGTCAGGATGTTGCTCGGGCCCAACACGTGGCGGCTGCGCCTTTGAGACGTACAGTTCTACTGTAGCGTGAGGGTAACTCTTGTTTTTGTCTTTTTGTGTGGTGCCTTAAAATGTTTGCAGTGTCTTAGCTTGGTTTGTCGTGCTATTGTTTGTTGGTGTTTATGCTTTGTTGGGAGCTGCAGTGTTGTTAGTTTTGCATTGTTTGGGTTTGTTTGCCGCGTTTTGTTGTTGCGCTGTTAGCTCGCTGTTTTGTGCTGTGCTTCTTTTGCTGATCGTGAGAGTGTTTTGATTCCTTGGCGGTTTAACATTATCCCATGATCCGATTCTAGCGACCTACGGGGCTTGCGACACCCCAAGGCTCCGTTGAAGCAACCCTTGGGGTTGATGGTCGCTTAGCAGATGTGGACGCGGGGCCCAAGAAGTCAGAAGCTCAGGTGGGTAAAGTCCGCCGTTCTCCCTTTGGAGGACTTTCCAGGGACTTTCCACCCTGGTGTGTAGCCAGCGCCCCTTTCTGGGGGAAAACCACGGGAAATTAGCCACGAAGCTCCTGTTATTGTAGCTTCCCCTATTTGTGTGTGTGTGTGTGTGCGTGCGTGTCTTTGATTGTTTTTCAGGGTACCCCCCCCCCTTTTTTCCAGCACCAAAGGGCAAACCACCATTTTCTGGGGTCCCCCTATTCTGAGACACCCGTTTTTGGTTTTTGGAATTCCAGACTTTGCAGACCAATAGTTCTAGGGGTACCTTCCCCATTCTTTCCAGGGATCCTTTTTTCTAGAAAACCTCCAGAAACCCAGGTTGAAAACGGATCCGGTGTTTGGAAAGAACGATGGTTGAAAAGAATGGACAAGGAATCAACCCCTAGAATTGTGACTCACCTATACTTACCCTTCAAGGGATTCGTGCCATCTGTTGCCCAAAGCCGAGCTTTTCACCTTTTCATCTCCCCTTGGCAACCCAAGAATCTGGGTGAATTATAACGACCTCACACGACCGAATTTACCCCAAATATCCCCAAATGGTGGTTTATGTGGGGAATGGCCTCCCCCAACCACCTTAAGTTTCAGGCTGGGACGAAGGGATCACGAGCTTTTGTTCCGTTTCCCAAAGGCACGAAGGTGGTGCCGCAGACCTCCTCCCCGAGTTGGGCGGATATGCTGGAGCTCGACATCAGCCCCTTGGGATCGACCTGTTTCCAACGTTTCCAACTTCTTTTCCTTGGCTCCCAGCCATCCGGTTCCTTAGCCTTTTAGCTTTTTAGGGTTTAGTGGTAGTTTCCATGTAACCCACTAAAAGTTACACTTTTAGCGGGGGATCTGAGGGCAGCCCAGTTTTGGTTTACCCAGACCCGCGGCGGACAACTTTCGACCCATTGCTGCGACCTCTGACCTTGGACCTTTCGACTTTCGCGTCGACCGTATTGTCGGCATGATTGTGGAAATCGAATGTTGTCATACCAATGTGCGGGTTTTAGGTTGTCATCCTTTGAGTTGCCAAGAGAACTCCCAGTAAATGAATACTCACAAAGTAGCAACTTGGGATTGGATTTAGAGTCAATCTTTGTCGACGGAGTGTCGGTCAGCGCCCCTTCCGGCTTCGGGTTCCATGTACTGGGCAGGTGGTCAAGGAGTGTCAAGTCGGCGGCTTTTTTCCACCAGGAGAACCGCACTTAGCGAGTTGTGGGAGCCTGCCATGCTTACTCCGCTTACTCCCTGCCTTCTGTCGGTTGTTCACACGTGGTGCGGCTAAATAATTGCTACCCTTGCAGCCATGGTCTCACAATGACCAAGTTGGGTTTCAGTTGCTGATCGATGGTCAGACTCTTGGATTCCTTCAAGAATGGCCAGTATTTTGTGGGCACTCAACAAACAACAGTTTTCAGGAACCTTCTTTGAGGAGCCTGAGGTTAGTTTGGCGACGAATGTACATGCGTCAACAAGGAGCCGCATTTGTTGCGTTGCGACGATCGAACCCGCTCACGGTGCCGTGCTGCCGCGGTTTATCCTTCCACCAAGCTGAAACCAGCTGGTCTGAATTACAGGGACCCGTTTCAGTTTGTGCTAAAGGCGTCGAGAACCAAGCAAGTGTGTTGCTTGTCAACCCAAGCAGCCTGACACAACCGAGGTTTGCAGTGCTCGCTGCAGAACATGCGGTGTTATCCGGAGCCAATACAGCTGCCCAGCTGAGAGGAATGTTTAGAATACGGAGAAGCAGGACTGGATATGTTTCTGGGGTATCCTTCATGTTTCGAAGATTGCTACATATGAAACAGAATTTGGAAGCCTTATTTACGCTTATGTTCTCTGCACCCCCACAGATTCGAGGGTTTGAAACGGTCAAGGCATTCACAATGAGCAAGGGACAATATTACTCTGAAGCCTTGGTTTGCTAATTGAAAGTCAGGCAGCCCTCAATTGGTTTGGATTTGGGGATGTTTGATCCCCAGGTAGAGGGTGGAGAAGCCCACCGAACCACTCAGCCAACCCTCCAATTGGAGGTAGATGGTTGCTTTTCCGAGCTCGTTGCTCGGTTTCAGCAAAAAGACCGCCCAGGCTCACAGTTTACGACGTGGTGGGCAAGAGTTTGCTGGACAAAGTGGCGGATGCCGCGGACACTGCCAAGCAGTTGGCCGCGGGCGCGATGGCCGGCGATATCTCCATCAAAGACAAGCTGGAGTTCAACGATGAAGCTGGCTTGTCATCAGACATCGACGTCGCAACTTGAATTGCAATTAGTCTGGGTGAATTATATCGACCTCACACGACCTCACCCCAAATGGTGGTTTATGTGGCGAATGGCCCCCCCCCCCCAACCACCTTATTTCAGGCTGGTGAAATATTATAATTCACGCAGATTAGTTAAAATGGGGCATGGTAGAGCGCTGTACAGAAGATCAGCACATGTGGGCTCGTACGTCTCAGAATTTAGTCAATGAAGCCTGCTGCAAAGCGGAAAATCCTCATACGCTTCCATTCCCATCTATTGGCCAGCACGTGTTGCCCGGAAGGGCTAAGGTTCCCTTCCACAAAGGATGGCGTGCTGCACGAACGGCCGCTGGACTGTTTTCCTTCTAAGCGCGCCCGCCCACTCAATCGGATGAGTGACAGTGACTTGTCAATGACAATGAGTGGCAATGAGAATTGTAGTGTCTTGCAACCGGATTCAGATGTCTACCTTGGCAAAAAAGCAGATGTCCTCACAAAGAGGCTGCACATTCCCCATGAAGGTTCTAAACAAATCCAAATTTTGGGCAAGGCACCAGCTCCAGAAAGTTTTACGGGAAGCCAACGACCCGCCACCAAAGTTTTAGCTTTCCGGTTTGTCGGATGGGTTGGTGAATCACTATATTCACCCAATTTCCATGGACTCTGAGATAAGATCTTGAGGGGGGTGCTGACGTCTTCGGCGGCGCCTCAGTTCTGTTGGTGCTGAAGCTCTCTCAAACAAACGATGCTCTCCCGCATGGGTACCGCTGGGTGATTAGGTTACTTGGAAGTTGTGTCCCAACAAAATGTTTGGGTCAGCCTCTTGACACCAAAGGGTGAGGAATGCCAAGAGCCAATGAAGCTTGCTCAGAGACCTTTCTCCTTGTAGGCCTTTGAACCCCGGCCACAGAAAGCAAGCGACCGCCTTATCAGTGACTGGCTGCAAGTACCAGTTCCTTTGTCTAAAGATTAGCCCCGCTTTTTTTTTGACGGTGTAGGCACCAAAAACGCCACTTCGCTGGGGATTCCTGATTTTGCGACGCTTCCACATTTGTCTCTCCGGGAACCCGTCCTTGGGTGTCCTTCGGGAATCCCACCCACAAAGGCGAACGCCGGGTCCCAACGAGCCACCGTGCTGAGGCCAAGATGGGCGAGGAGTATGCCGCCTATATGAAAGACCAGGCCATGGCCAACATGTTGGGCGACGTCATGGCGGCCAAGCGCTTGGGGGAGGCGAGGAAGGGGAATACACGAAAGGGGGTGATTGGGTTTCAACCATCAAAGTGGACATGTGGCCAAAACCCCCAAAAGTGGAGTCTTCCAAAACCCTCTCGCTGTTCATGATTGGAGGGTGAACTTTGAACTTCCATCATTTTAGACCAATAATTGCGGTTTTGCTTTTCACCTTTCCTCCAGGACCAAGGAGAAAGAGACATGGGTGTGGGTCAAAATTAAACCACCAGGGGACCGCAGATTTTACTCCTTGTTTCCATGTACCAGGGTTCCCCAAATGGGTGCCTATTTTGGCCCCAGGCCCACACCCACATCATTTTGTGGCCTCCGGCTTTCTGAGGTGAAGGGTGGCCGGCGGGTGATTGGCCGCCAGAAGATCCACTTCCGACGACTGCTGCACCCCTTGGGCAGCAACAAGATGCGCCAGCGGTGGCTGAAGCTGCGGGGCGGGGTCATGGCTACTGGCTGGGCAGGCGCCCGGCACAAGCGGACTTGAAAGGAAAGGAAGGGGCTGGCAGGTGTCCTAGGTTTCCCAGTAATGTCCTTTTATATACCCTTTTTTGGGGGAGGGTTCCCCTACTAAAATAGACTACAGAAAAAGGGTACCCTTCTTCTGAGCTCTCTACTGGAGGACCTAGTGTCACAAGATTGGTCCTTAAGATCGGTGGAAGGGTCGTGTTCCTTGTTGTTGTTTTCTCTTTGAAGCGAGGTGAAAGGGTACACTCAAGAAAACACACCCATAGTTGCCGCGAATGATGGTAGTAAAGGGGGTGAGCTGGGGCACACTCACCAAGACATCGTTCGGAAATGAACTGAATATTGGTGGCTGGCGTGGCATTTGGTTCAGGGTTAGGAGAGCAGTGGTACCTGTTCAAGGGGACCCCGATGGCAGCTGAAAGACAAAGTATCAATCCTTGCATGGATATGTAGCGAATGTCCGGAGAGGAATGCAAAGAGATGACATGCTACGTTTTCGGAGCGGTTGCCGCCGGGAGGGAGGTGCGCCTTGGAGGAGTGTTGCTGCCCCGTCCTCTCCACCACCAGCACCACCAGCACCACCACCACCACCACCACCACCACCACCACCACCACCACCACCACCACCACCACCACCAGAGATGACATGCCGATACAAAGGGAAGCAGATGGAAAAGCTCTGTACTTACCGACATAAGGCAATCGTACCATCTACCTGAACGCTCTGTAATTTTTTGCGCGAAGCTCTTTGCGTGGCGTTCACCGCCACAAGGCAAATCAGCTTTGTGCCGAGCGTATCTCAATCTCCTACAGAAGCAGCTTGACCGACTGAACACGACACTGGGCGCCGGGCGACAGCAACCACCACACAACAAGCGCAAGAACCATCTACCGTAAGACGCTTCTCTTCAGCAGTCACGTGTATGAAGGAGACCTGTTTGTCGCCTGCCACATCACGGTGTCTATTGCAGTGTAGCCTCGCCCCTATGGATCCAGGTAAACTCAACCGCTGGAAGGCCTGGGCCAGTGCGTACAGGAAACAACCGCATGCCTCAAAATCATGACACATCCTCTTGTGGTTGGCATGCAAAGGGGAACCTTTCGGGGACCCAACAGACCACCTCCCCAAAGAGACCCCCACCCAACCTTCTTTGGCCGTATTTGGCCATTGTTGCAATAACAAGCACTGTGGGGGGGGGTCTTGCAGAGCGGGGGTGCATCGGCACAGGCGACATCATGATTGGCCTTGAGATGATGCGCGTGAAGCAACTTGGGCTCGGTAAACTGGAAACCAGCTCGCCCGCAGTTTTCCAGCCCTTTTTTTTTCTCCATGAGACAGAATCCACTTCGAATTCGAATTGGTGGTTGATCCCAGTCAGTTTTCATAGAGCTTCATTCATTCATGCCAACTGGTACAAGATGCGGAAGCCCATTTCTAGTGGCAAGTAAAGTTATAGAACTTTTTGGGGGCCATCTCGCCAAGTGAGGAACCGATCCAAGTTCGCGCGGATCCATCGAGGTACGTCAAGGATTTCCCACCACGGGACCTGAAGCCGCCGGGGAAGCCGTGTCTGGTGTCCGTGGCCGTGATCGGCCTGAGGAACCTCAACACCGAGCAGAGCCTCGCACGGCGGTTTCGTCAAGCTGGCTGTGGTCAAAACCGTTAAACGGGATCCCATTTTGGTTGGGATTGGGTGAAGTCACCACCCATTCTAGAACCTATTTTTGTGATTGGAGTGGGATGTTCACTGGGGGTTCGATTTGGATTTTGACCCATGGCCAGCTGACTTCGGGGAAACCACAAGCGCGTTGTTCAACAGAAAGAAGAGAGGAAACACAACGGTGTTTGCGCGTTCTTGCGGTGGCCCAAGCCTGGCACTCTTCCCGTTGAAGGAAGCGTTGTTCAACTTCACGGGTTTCTTTGCAGGTTCTAGGAGTCTCCATGACCCTTAAAAAATGTGGGTCATTACCCATATGAATGGGGTCATGGACCCATTTTGAAAGGGTCATGGAGAGTCTAGGTAGTTGTTTGTTTTGTTTCGTCCTGAGCAGTTCCTCGGCTGCAACAAGTCTTTGCTACCACAGGTTTTGGAAGTTCAACGAGGGCTGTCTCAAGGTGACCGCCTCAAAATGGTTGGTTTCCTTGTGGAATCCCTGCAGAAACCACTCATAGAGGGGTTCCCTCACAAGCCGACTCACCGTCTTTTTTGGGGGGACCCCCCCAAAACGGGTGGTGTGCGTTTGGCTTTCCCTGTAAAACCACAAAGCAAAGACCGCGTCTTTTCTTGAACAAAGACCCGTCTTGGTCTGGGTTGCCCGGTGGCGCCCTTTTTTCCAACTTTTTGGGTTCCGATTCCTTTAAACTCAACCCGGCCTGATTTTTGGCTTCTGCCGGGATGAGTGGAGCCCAACTTGGGGGGGGAGGGTGGATTCTTGAGCAATGTGGCGGAACCAACCAAACACGCATGCCGAGTCTTTTTTCTTTCATAGAAATCCACTGGGCATCTGCGTGGTGCAGACGTTGAAAACCAGGTGGCTGAATCGAATCGCGCCCCAGGATCCAGCTGACTGGCGATCCGGTGCTGGAGGTCGTGGTGCCATCAGTGAAAGCCACAAATCCAGAGAAGGCCGGAGGTCGGGCCGTCACCAAGATATGTGTTATGTTGCGAGGTTCACGTTGTAATGTAGAATAGTATGCACTGTTCCTACCATTATCATCATCATGATTAGTCATTATTATTACTATATGTTATTTCAACAATTTGTATATTATATAAACATGGGTGTGTCCTTTTTTGGGGGAACCCTTTTTGCGTTGGAGTAAAGGGAAACCCAAAAAAACACCAACGTGTTTTGGGGGCGGCTTTTGTAAATGGACACCCCCCCAAATCTGAAACATGAGTCCGAAAAAAGATATGATCGGTGATGTGCTCGAGTGTTGGGCCAATGCTCTCGCAAGCACACCAATCCGTTGGTAAAGCACGTGAAGACCCATGAAGGCTTCTTACGCGGGGATGTGTGATTCCCGCTTGAAATTTGCCCACAGAGCTGAGTTGCAGCCACTGCCATGGGATTTGTTTAGTCTACTGTTAATTGGGAGGAGGATGAGAAGGGGGTGAAAGCAGCGATGGCGAATTATGTGTCAAGGGATCAACCCTTAGGGCCATTTCATGGCTGCTCCTTGGTGTGACCTTAACCCCTCAGATCTTTCGGAAACAAATGCTTTTTCCATTACATCCTGCACAAGGTGATTGACTTGTTTTTGCTCAGGGGCTTCTCTACTATGTTTTTTTGTTTGAACATGCTTTCCCAGACAACATATTTTAGGGGGCCTGGTTTTCAGTTTTGTCGTGCCAGAGATTAACTTTAGTTGTAGCACAACGCACACTTTCCCTCCCTGGTCAAAAACGGCTGACAGGATGAAATTGTTATGTAAACAAAAACCTTTACACAGTTCAAGTTGGTGTGGAACCTGTGGGTCTGAAAGAAGTTGGGTGGTTTTCTGGCGACCCCTAATACGGATGGAGTTGGGGTTGGTAGGGGATATCACTGGTTTAGCACTAGTTTCAAATTGGCTACTCTACACTGAGTATTTTCGGCCCTGATATGTTTGAAAAACATATTGACTATTAGATGGACCGTTAGTATTTGGAGGAAGTGGCAATTTTGTGTGCGGCCCAGTTGAAAGCTAGTTAGATCTTCGAACTCCCCCCAGCCTTTTTGCGGCGGGCTCGATGCAACTTTGTGGGAAAACACTCCGATGGGTTACCTGTAAAGAGCGCTGTTTAGCGCCCATTCCCCCCATGGCGCAAAAAACAAGTGACAGGGTTTTGGGTGACTTCGCGCCCTTCACGCTTTCCTTCCCCAGCCCTGTACCCACCTGCCAAGTCATAAGACACGTCTTCAAGCGTCGCCTAGCCCTGCCCTGCACACCTGCGAAATGAGAAGCTGCACCCCCCACACGCAATGGACATCAATGGCATAGGCGCACACAGCTCACAGGGTTTGCCTTCAGCAACGCCTCCTCGACCCGGACACGTGCGAAGGATTCGGGGCGAAGAGCCGAGAAAACGTGCTGGTTTTTCAGGACTCCTTAAAAGATACATTTTGCAACCATTTGAAACATATTGTTTTTTTCACCAAAATGAAGGGAAACCACTATTTACAAGGCAATGTTCAGGTGTATAATGTATAAGGATCCCTGTTTTTTTTCTCACAGAAATCAGGCTTTCAGGCGCGAAGCAAAGAAGCACCATCAAAGCTGCACCTGACTGATGCCCAGACCCACTCTAATTAGTTTCCTAGACTCTCCTTCCGACCCTTAAAAAATGGGTCCATAACCCCATTATTTTGGGTGATGATCCGATTTTTAAAGGGTTTCAGGCCAGTCTTGTCCAGCACCAGCAATTAGGCGGCGTACAGGATGGTGTGCATATGGGAGACCGGGCTGAGCGGGTGTGATTGAGACTGTGTGCTTTCAGGCTCGTTGAGACGTACAGGCTGAGGGGGCGTGCTGGAGTAGGTTTGTCAGGCGTGAATGTGTGTATGTGTGTGTGTGTGTGTGTGCGCGCGTGTGACTAGGTGTGCCATCTCGAAATACGCTGGTAGCAACAAAAACTATGAAGCTTGAGTCCGTTGTACTACCAGTCTACCCCCGGAGGGCCAAGTCTCAAGAAGGCCAAATCAGGTCTGGTTCTTAACCTAGGCCCGCCAGTAGTGCCCTTTACCAATTCTTTTTTGGGGGAGGGTTCCCCTACTAAAATAGACTTCAGAAAAAGAAGGGTACCAACTTATTCTAACCTTCAGCAAATCCCTTGTGGGGCCTCTTGTTTTCGGGGCCTTCCAAAGAGCTGGAAGAAGCAGGAAGCATCAGGAAACAGCAGCAAAGAAACATGAAACAGCAGGAAACAAAGCAGCCCTTGAACGTAGAGCTCGCGCTTGCAAGTGGGAGTGACAACGCAGGTGTCAGGGTAAGCTCCGCGAGCACACATTTTTATTGTACACGCTTCGTGCTGCCCGCCTCGGCCAGCATCAGCCAGTTTCGGCTTGCTTTGAAGGAATGGCATTTCGTTGTGGGCGCTCACATCAAGGACGCTTGCAGGCGCTGTCGGCTCCCTTTGTGCCTCTCTTGGTGGGCTGTCTTGGTGGGCTGTCTGTGGGCGGAAGTCTTGCGGGCGATGTTCATGAGCGCTTGCGGACGCTTGTGGGCGCTCCTTCGTGGGGCTTGTGGGCGCATGTGGGCCACAAGGACGGAAGTCTTGCAAGCGTGCATCATGAGTGCTTGCGGGCGCTTGTGGGCAGCACTGTTGCCTCTGTGGGCGTTCCTCTTGGCGGGTGCTTCTAGGCGCATGTGGGGGCTCTTCTTGGGCGCTTTCGGGTGTGCGGCGCATATGGGCGCTCGCCCACGCTCTCTGCTGGGTGCGCTTGTGGGCGCATGTGGGCGGGGTTTCATTGGGTGCTTGTGGAGTGGGGGGTGGGCGGCACTGTTGCAGGCGCTCCCTTCATAATTGCTTGCGGGCACTTGTGGGCGCTCTTGGTGGGCGCTTGTGGGTGGTTGCGGGCGTTCTTCATGAGTGCTTGCGGGCGCTTGTGGGCGCTTGTGGGCGGCAGTGTTGCGCTGTCGCGGGCGCCCGCAGCGGTCCATATGGGCGCTTACATTACTGGGGTTCAAACCTTCTTTTCATGGGGGTTGAACATGTTTACCTCACTCTGAGTGGACTGGCCAAAAAATGCAACCAAAGATGTCGTTTACAACTAACATGTCCAGGAACCCATCAGGGAGTGAGAATCCAAAGGGAAGGGTTCAAATTGCCGCCTGAATGTTTACAAGGGCGGCATTCAACGACACCATCTGGCCCAACAGCTGAGAAAGGCTGCGCAACCCCATAGCCTTTGGCCGCAAGGTTGTTTTATTTCTGGACATCTAGCTGCGCCTCGCATATCTAACCGTCAACCTACTTGTTGAGGGCCCGCAAGGAGATTGGGTGCTCCTTTTGCTTTCCCTGTCCCTGTCTGTCAAATTCGGTCAGATCTTGTGTCATTTGCCCAGAACCCAAGCTTCTTGGTGCCACTCGCCTGCCCAATAAGACGCCCGCCCTCAAGCGCCCACAACGCTGCCCACAAGCCCAGCCACAGACCGGCGCCCACATGCTCACAAGCCCCCAAAACTGCCCACAAGCACAAGGAAGAGCGCAACGGCGCTCCCGGAAGACGCCCGCAACACCGACGCCCACAAGCCCAGGAAGATGCCTGCAACGCCCACAAGCGCCCGCAGGCCCAAACAGCACAAAACTCTCCGCAAGTGCCCGCAAGGAAGAACAGCCGCATCAAAACCACGACGCTCAGAGAACACCGCCCGCAACGCCCAGCAAGAACGCCACTCACATGTGAGTATCTGAGACCCTTTGACCGGTTGATGGACAAAGTCTCACGTGTTGGGGTTGGACCATTTTAGTGGTTGTGGCTTTGGACATTTTGCTGAGCTTGTGTGGGCGTTGTTGTGGGCGTTAGTGCGCTCTCTCTCTCTCTCTCTCTCTCTCTCTCTCTCTCTCTCTGTCTCTCTCTCTCTCTCTCTCTCTCTCTCTCTCTCTCTGTCTGGAGTTTGTGGGTGTTAGCGACTCCGGAGGCTTGTTTGTGGATGACCTCCAGCTACTTTTGTGAGTACCCAGGCGCACGTAAAACTTCAGCGCTTTGTGTGTCCGTGCGCACACACGCTGCGTACGTGAATCAGTGTGCAAGAAACAGCTGGCGGCGGGAAGGGAGAGAGGGAGGGAGGGCGGAGAGGGAGGAAGGGAGTGCGTGTTTGAGTGCGTGTGTGTTTGTGAGTGTGTTTGTGAGTGAGTGAGTGAGTGAGTGAGTGAGTGAGTGAGTGAGTGAGTGAGTGAGTGAGTGAGTGAGTGAGTGAGTGAGTGAGTGACTGGCCTGCATTTAAGAAGCTTACAGTCTTACAAGCATGTTTTTTGATTAAAAAATCTGCAAATGTTCGTGTGAAGTCAAGGTAACAATGATGAATAAGTCGTAATGAGCAGGCGTTGATGTTCGTGTAAAATTACGGTAACAAGGCTGCAAAAATCGTAAGGAGCATGTAGTGATGTTTGTGTACAACTGGTGAAAATGATGAATATGCGCTGATGTTCATGTAAATTTGCAGAAACAAAACATCAGCAATATGTGACAGTGTTTGTGAAATCATGGGGAAACAGCGGGTTCATGCTCATTTTAAACCAATGTACCTTGCTTCGTAGGATGCCAAACAAACATGGTGATGTGAGTTTTTTGGTGGTTCTGTGGTGGACAGCGTTGGCAGCGCCTGTCTTGTCGTCCAAGCCAGTTCTTCCTCCCCAGGCAGACAGGCGCCAGCGATCTCATGGCAGTTTTGCAGCTCCTGTCTCCACTACCAGGGCGAGCACGGTCCTCCTCCCCCCAAACAGACATGCGCCAGTGATTTTAACGCAACAAGGCTGGCCAAGCCTTGCTTAGTTACCCTGGTTCCTTCGACAGTTTCATCAGTTCGTTTGTCATGACTTGTTCAGCATGGCTGCCCCGTAGCTGAAAAACATATCCTGCGC